GGGGGGGGGGGGTGTTGAACTAGGACTATAAATGATCTAATGTCACACCAAATTGATTATCGGTCATTTGCTATGACTTTATGGAACCTGTTAGTCTCCTACAATCCATCATAGATTTATTTTTGTTACCCAGAATGGAGAATAACAACTTTAAAGATGATGTGATGGAGCTTCTGGCTACCATCCTGCGTGCCAAGGACTGCGCAATCCAGAAGATCAGGTAAGAGATCTGCTCTTTCCTCACTTAATCTGTTATCACCTTTCGAAACACCAGTGTTTGCCAAGAACCCCCTGCTGTGGGTCAGCTTATCTACGGCACCCCTTGACATAGGTACAAATTGACTCTACCCTTAGTGGTAAAGCCCCCTTAAACTTTCAGTTTAAATCAGCTAATTATATTCATATATATGTGTAGTGTTGGTATGGATGAGTTTTGCTGATTGCAGACAGGGCCGGATTTTCCACAAGGCCACTGAGGCCCGGCCTCGGGGTGGCAGGGAGCAGAGGGGCGGCAGGGGTGTGGAATCTCCCGACGCCTGGGACATGCAGTTCCGGACGCCGGGCGGATAGTTGTTTTCTAGTTAGCCTTGCTTTCGGCAAGCAGAGCTAATATACAGCAGGGAAGCCTCTTGTTCGTTTACAAGTGATCTCAGCGATGTCGCCAAGATCACTTGTAATAAAAGACTGCAGGTCCGTCCACCCCCCTCGCCGTGTACCTCTCTCCTAGCTGGCCGCCTCGCTCCGGAGATCTTTTATTATGGAGTGCAGGAAGCAAAACAGAGAACGTCAGTTCTCCGCTCTGCTCCGTGTAAACAGTGAGAGGGGAGAGCTCCACTCGCAACCTTCCCCTCTCGGCTATCACAGGAGCTCCAGAACTCCTATATTGGAGGTGACAGGTTCAATAAAGAGAACCTGTCACCTCCAAATGCTATTACGCAGGGATTTGTTAGCAATAAAGTTAGGTGGGGAAAAAAAAAATGTTAATTACATTTTTTAAACAAAAAAATAATTAAATAATAAATAATACAAAAAACTGTAAGAAATAATAATTAAAATAAAAAAGGTGATTAAAAAATAAAAGTTATAAAAAAGTAAAAACTGGTAAGAAAAACTATACAAAATAAAAAAAGTAAAAACAAAATAAAAAAAATTTAAACTAACCCTGCCGTCCCCGCCATCTGGTTGTCATTCTTCATTGGGGGTGGGGGGTTTGGCAAGGAGGAGGGTGCTTTGAGAAACCTGGCCATGGGGCAGCAGAGAGAGTAAATCCGGCCCTGATTACCGGGCTATTGGTCTTGCTCAGCGGGGGTGTTGGACCTCTCCAGGGAGACCTCTGGTTCCACACAGAGAGCAAGGGTCTATAGGATGTTTCTATATAAGATGCTCTCCCATTACAGGAATATTAGGTTAAACTGGTTGTCTTAAGTGATTTTCATCTTGAAACAATATTAATGGTTTATATTTAGGCAAGGTTCTTACTATACTATGTGCATTGAGAAGATAATGATTATTTTGTCTGTACTGCAATAATAAGTCTATGAACTGTTTGCTGTGCTCTCTTTGCAGCCTGTCAGAGAACCAGCTGGGTAACAGAGGTGTGAAGGTGCTGGGAAAAGCCCTGATGGTGAACTGTACACTCCGTTCCATTGAGTAAGTTGTGCAGTATCCGACTTAGCTAGTATTGAGTATTCAGTGCCGACATGCAGCAGAGGCAGCCATCTTGTTTTGTACGCCAATGATTTTGAGAATATATTCAGGTCAAGTGAAGGTCTTGCCTCAGATGCTGGAAATTCCTAGTGATGGGCAGACAAATGAGCTGCTTCTCCACGTGCAGACTTTGTTATCTACCTCTAATTATGAATAAATTGGCCAATAACCTGTTATATTTCATGTCACAGCCTCCACGGGAATAGCATTGGACCCAGTGGTGCCAAAGCCTTGGCGGAGGCGCTAAAGAACAATCAGGTGCTGCAGAGCCTAAAGTGAGTACAGAATGCCAAGTGTACTTTTTATATGTTCGGTGTACAGACAACAGGTCTGACCTTTCCTCAAGAAACGAATGTTTGGAGAGTGGGCGGTGGGACCTCTTCAATGGCTGGTGGATTCATCCTCTGTGTTTGTCCTGGTAACCAGAACAGGAATAGAAGGTAAATCTTCCAATGGGGACATGTGTCCCAGTGACAACTATCTAAGAAGGGATTCCCCTCACTTTGGAGAGATTTTTTTCTCAGTTCTGGTTGTGTCTAAAGTACAGGAAGTGAAAGGAAATCCCCCAAAGCACTACAAATGGCAAACAAACTGGTAGCGGGTTAAAGGAGAACTATGGGGTTAGGGCTTTTCCCCATAGTTCTCCTTAGGGTAACGGGAGGAACTAGCGTCCTCCAGTCACCCTAGGCTCAGTATACCGTGAGCTGTAGCTCGCGGTATACTGAGACGCCGCAGCTGGGACAATTATGCCGGGATCCGCCCAGCTGCATGACTGACAGCTGGCTCTGCCTATCTATCTTTAAATCTATCTTTAAACCCTTCCCTACTTTATCTAAAAAAAAATGTTTTGGCTTTAGATGTACTTTAAATATTTTCACATGGCATGTTGTTTTTAGCAGCTATTGTTTATTTTGCAGTCTTCAGAACAACCAGATAAAGTCTGAGGGAGCAAAGTGCTTGGCCCAGTCTCTGCTGCTGAACCGTAAGCTAATGGTTCTGAAGTAAGTATAGGTCAGTCTGTCTTGGGAAAGTCATGTGACTAGGAGACACCTGGATGTAGCATAGGAACATCATTTTGGGGGTTCTACCACCTACAGAACTTTCACTGCTGACCACATATATCTTTACAAATTGATATACACTGTATGTAATTACAATACTCATGAAAGCTTTATTTCTTTCCCTGTCCATTGAAGGACACATGAAGTCTTTCACCTTCGGGTTATACTGCCACCTCATTGGATTGGACACTGGCAAACATAAATGCTGTTGGCCAGCTCAGGATAAGCCCTCTTACTACCAGCATGCCTTAGTGTTTTACTAGTGTCCTAGGAGGAGAGACGTCTTCACTTCAGCTCTACTGGAAAAAGTCTAATCCAATTTTTTGCTTGCATTTTTTTCCCCGCTTCAATCAAGACTCTTCTCTACAGCTGCTTGAGCTGGACTCTATGATTTCAGCTATCTAGATTGGCTTAGTCTTAGTCTTTGGAGTGCCATGACCGGACCCTGCTGGACTGGATGTTGCGGGGGTAGCCTGAAAGTAACCTTCAGACACTGGGTTCCAGGTAATGTCTCCATGGGATCTCCACACCCGGATCTTGGCCTTTCCTTCTTGTTCGATTTGCAGACTTGAGAGGAAGGGATTTCTGGCAAACTTTCTTGCTCTGGTTTAACCCAGGCAAATGTTCTACGCTGTCCTGTTAAGACTCCTGGCCGTTGTTCCATGGACTCCAATGCATAGTTGGATCTCGAAATCTGTGACTTTTTTAAAGCTCAAGGATAGGCAGAGTATCAAAGTTTCCCATGGCTTGGCCCCAGAGGTTTTTTTTTCCTTGCAAAAAGATGGGAGTTAAGCTTGGCCCTTCAACTCTATCATTTTGACAGTCTTCCAAGCTAATTTTTGGTGAAAAGATCTACTTTCTATCCACTGAGTAATCCTTATTTGTACCTTATCCAGTCTGGCTACACTGTGGAAACAAACTTTGGTTCTCTATATGTTCTCAGAAACCACGGTTTCGCTCCTTGGAGGTAATACTGCCCTAAGTTAACCTCTAGGGTTCCCCACTGGTTCTCATCGCCCTGGCTTGGGGAATCTCTGCTTTGCCAGCCATTCAATGCATGGAACCCTGTTGGACCTACAATGGGATCAGGTGAGTTGAGGCTCAGGGCCTTCTTCTGAGCTAGGGTAGCTTTGATCTTCAACCATGATATCATTCTCGGGTCCTTTTGTCTGACCCGTGCGAGAAAAGAGCTCCTTCTCCTTGTTGTTGCCTCTCAGTACAAAAGTGGATCATGGTTGATCTTCTTGAATGTTCTCTGTAAGGAGCTTGTTGGAATAGATAGATAACTTTAGTGGCCCTATGATAACTCCTGTGTCCAATCCTAATGGAGGTGGCAGTATAATCCCAAGGTAGAAGACTTCCTGTGTCTAAGAAAAGGATTTAAAAAAAGAACTCCAGCAAGCCCAGTTTGCCTCCACACTGACAACATAACTACAGTACAATATCAAAACACTTGTCTGTCTGTGTCACTGCTGGAGAGATCCACTCTCACTCTGTCCTGGTGACCTTAGTCATCGGAACAGGAATTGGGGGGAAATCCACTATTAGGACACCTTCTCCACTGACAACTGTCATCACTTCCCGTTGTGTCTCTGGAACAAGAAGTGAAGAGAAATGTGCCAATGGAACACAGACAACAATAAAAACCTGACAGAGGATTTTACCCATACCTTACTTTATCCCGAAACCTAAAAACAAAAGTTTGACTGTAGATACATTTCAATGTTGGTCACACATACCCGGAAGTATTTGGAAACTTCAACCAGATTTCAATAGCAAAAATGACCAAGCGGATCAAAACAAACTATAGCCAGCTGCTTTGCTCAATATCTTGTTGACCACAATCATGAATGATTTTTTTGCTCACTGATATACTTTAATTAGTGTAGAGACTTGCAATATTATAAACTGTTCTGTTGATAAGCTGGGTCTTCGCTGGAAAACTAGAAGCTTGTCTGTTTATCTTGCAGCCTTCAGAAGAACAGCATTGGTTGGGAGGGGGCAGAGAGCCTGGCAGCCTGTCTCAAAGAGAACCAGGTGCTCCACGAGCTGTGGTGAGTCCATGATTACAGCTGTAACTACCCGTCCTCTGCATTCTCATAGTATTGCTCCCTCACGTGATAGGAAAAAAACATTGAACCTTCTTACGCTCCATTCTCCTCACTGCTTTGTATGTTTCTCTTCCCATCCTACTGACACTTCTTTCTACATTCAGGTTATCCAGCAACAGCCTGGGAGACCAAGGAGCCACGGCCCTGGCTGAAGCTCTCACCAAAAACTCAGGTTTAATTACTTTGGAGTAAGTGACACCCAACCACAGGGGGGAGGTTTACCCTTGTATATCTACCGTATTGTATACATGTGTAGATCATCCTTCACGGTCCCACTGGACTTTGTGGGAACTCACAATGTGCATGCAAGCTTTATCTCAGCACAGCATCCAACTTGTGTCCCTTTCATGCCACATCCTGGCATCCATCACTCCATTTATACCTGTGTCAGGATCACTGGCCTCACTGGCCAAATCACTTATTTTGAAAGCCTCCTGAACAACTAAAGTGTATGTAAACCCTAACTGTATTTGTCAGTAACTATGCCGTCATGTCTTGCTGTGTACAGTTTTTTTTAGGCAAATAATGTTTTGTGACTCTGCTACGAAGTTTCTTACCTGGAGATTCTGCCACTACCGGCACTTTGTAACAACTCTGCTACGCAGGCCTAGGATCACAACTGCGGAGTGGGAATTTCACGGTCAGGTCAGCAAGTGGTCCCTTCAGCACTTTTCAATAAGAGTTCTAGACCTTTACATCATATCTGATCGTAGTTCGCCTGCGCCGGAGGAGCCGATGGCCGAGGTGCGCGTGCGCCAAGTGGAGAGAGCCGGGCCCGCTGTGCGCATGCGCGGTCACGGATCGCGATCCCGGAACGGAACCCGGTAAGTCTCTTACACACTTCCTGTTTCAGGCTGATAACAACACTAAACCACTGCTTGCAATTAGCTGCAGCATTGTCAGCCTGCCATGTGTGCTCCTTCAGCTGATATTTGGGCTGGCTGCCAGGTCTGTGCATGTCTCCTGCAGACCTGATAGGCAACCCAAAGGCCAACTGAAGGAGGAGCACACATGGCTGGCTGACATGGCTGCTTCTAATTCAGAGGCAGTGGCTTAGCGTTGTCAGCCTGAAACAGGTGAAATGAATCTACAAAGATAATTTGCTTAAGAAAACTGTACACAGTGAGGTATGAGGGCCTACTGAAAAATAGACTTAAGGTTTACACTGTGACCACCATTCCACCACCCCCCTTACTGGTCCAACCCGTTGCCACAGTTGCCGAGGGGGCATTTCCCGCTGCTATGTAGCTGTGGGGCCAGGAATGCGTCTCTCTACAACTGATTGGGTCAAGGGGAGGGGGTGCTAGTCACAGTTATGAGTGCATTTGGACAAACTCCGGTGAACGAGGTTCCTACCAAGCCCCCGATCATCAATACTGGTGACAAGTCTGTGTGTACGAGGCTTCAGCTGATCTGTGCTGTATATTAACTGAAGTCTTTCTGTTTCAGCCTGAAGAGTAATTCGATTAGCAACCAAGGCTTGAAATCTCTGACCATCGGGCTTAGCCAGAATCGGAGCCTGAAACACCTAAAGTGAGTCTGAAACCCCTTAAATGCAATGTTCTATAAGAGAGATGTCTACTCCCCTATTGTACATAGTAACCCCCGATTTGTGGGCTGGCTATAGGCTACATTGTATGGTGGCAGAATGTCATCACGCCTGGTCACAAGCAAGACACCGCAGTGAATGTTAGAAAAAGAAACAAATTGCTGCACTTTGGCCTGCAGCAGCTTTTTATGTTTATTGATTAGTAGCTGTGGTCACAAGAAAAGTTGCTGCAGCCCAGAGTGCGGGGATTCATGTGCTTTTCTGATTTGCCGGAGTGCAAAGAGTCGGAGCAGAGAGAGCATGCGATGAGCCACTCACCTTGGACAGCACACATATCTTCCTGTGAATGTCAGTAAAGTCACATTGCCAGTGACTACTGCAGGAAGTGTAACAGCCGCCAGTAGCTGGTTGTTGGAGCTGTAGGTTAGTGTTTGCCGCAGTGTGGGATTCGTGCCACTATTCCTACTCCGCCTGGAGACTGCAGGGCTCCCTTGTTCTGAGTTCCTTGCCGTAAAGTAGAGTCACACTAGTGTAATCTACAGGAACAAATACAACAGGGAGCAGGGGGAAAATTGATTGAGATTGTATGTGTTCCAGTGGACCTTTTTGGAGAAAACAACATCTCAGCTGGTTGCTGGCAGTATAGGTGTTTGGGTTATGTTGTTATATTTAATAGTACAGATATTACTCGAGTAATACAAAGATTGGGATAGAACCAGATAACCGAGCACAGCTTGGGAAACATTGCTGTAGGCTTAAAGTTAGACAACCATAACTCTCTCTAGAAGTGGCTGGTGTCTGAAGCTGCATCCTCTTGCTCTTGTGGTATTATTTACTGTTCTGTTCTGTTCAAAATGAAAGTTGTATTACACTTTCCGCTGATCTGATATATGTTCTAAAAGTTGATGTTTGGCTGCTATTGGCCTATGGGTGGGAAGGTGGACAGTCCATAGCAGAGGATCATGGGAAAGAATGCTCTACCAACAGACATCTTTTATAGTCATTGCTTTTTTACAAAGGGGATGCCTGTTCCAATGACAACTGTCTAAGAGGGGGATTCCCCTCACTTCAGAGAGATTTTCTCTTACTTCCTGTAGCATCTCCATGACAGGAAATCTTCCCAGCAGGACACAGACATGAAAACAGACAAAATAAACTGACGGGTTGTTTTAACCCTTTCCTCATCTAAAACCATCATCTATAGATACACTTCAGCTGAATAGGTTTGGTGTACAATGACCGTGCATTGCTTTCTGTGTCCTGGCGTGGGGGACAGTAGCCATCTTTGCTCTGGTGCCCACGTTAATATATTTTAGGGTATGACAGTGGGACACATAAATGGTGACCCTGTGCAGAGCTTTGTTTGATTTCCATTGTTCTCCTTCCGTTTGTCTAGATGATTCTGCGTTTCTCTTTCAGCTTGCGGGAGAATTCCATCAGCATTGAGGGAGCTCGAGCTCTGGCGCAGGCCCTTCAGACAAACACAGCCTTGGCACATTTAGAGTAAGAGTCCAAATCACTATTTGTGTGATGCATGTGGTATGCTATGGAATGTCAGCCGTTTCTGTACAGTACAATATCTGTTCCCTCCACCTTTACAGCCTGACAGCCAACCTTCTACATGACGAGGGAGTGGAGGCCTTGTCTGGAGCACTGAGGGAGAACCGCAGCCTGGAAACTCTACAGTACGTCTCTTCATTAAAGTCCCAGCATGTCCTCTCCTGTTATAACATCAGCATTGTAATAGGAATACAAACTAGAGTTGTACTAGAAATGCTGCGATCTGTGTCCCAGCAACCAATGACGCTTGCAGCCCGCACTGCAGGAAGTTGTCATTTAGTATTCCTCCTCTAAACAAATGACTTCCTGCTGCAGCAGCTTCCGGAGGGTTCCCCTGGGCAAGCAGGCCCAATCTGGCTATTTAGTTTGCCCATTTGTTCAACCGCAAACAATATGCGTCTGGGAGTCATGCCTGTGGCTGTCAGAGTCTTGCAATGCTTCATGGGACTTGTAGTTCCACAACAGCTGGAGTGCTGAGGTTGCCCTCCTGATCTATATAATATTGATTATATTCCAATGATGTAGCAAATACAATTGGTGAATAACCCGCATCAGAGTGGTCACATTGACATCTCACCTCTTCTGTGTCTCTTTCAGCCTCCAGTGGAATTTCCTACGAGTGGGGTCAGCGAGGTCACTTGCCGATGCTCTTCGCGTTAACGTGTGTTTGCGCTGTTTAGAGTAAGTGTGCCGTGTACTGGCAGCCAAATTCCCTGAGTCCCAATGTATAATGTTAGGGGGCAGTAGGTTGGTTATATTTCCTTACAGCGCTGGGGGTCCTGGCTTACTTCTCACCATGGCTTTGTTTATATGGAATCTGCAGGTCTTTGTCTGCATGTTCCTCCTGTGATTGTGTGCATTCCCTCCAGGTACTCCACCAATGTCATCATTCAATCCAAAAACATACTGAGAGGTTAATCAGCTTTCACCCCAATTGGCACTAGTGTGTGTCTAATGCTGGCCAAGTGTGTGCCATCTGTAGACCTACCTAAGCGGTCCGTTTCATTTCTTTCCAACCAGGCAGAGCCTTGTAGTATCTAATTGTACAATCAGATTGTAGGTGTGCAGACCGTCTTACATTGTGCGTGTTTACAGACCAAAGTAGAAAACTGCAGAGACCTCTCTGTGGTTTATTGGACCCCTTCCCATCCACCGTACGCATATATTTGGCCGGTTGGCGGCGGGGTTTTCTGTCGTATATAAGCACAGACAGTGTCACTGTTCTGTTCTGGGAGCGCGCTCTCTCGGCACCCCCAGCACTGCGATCAGGATGCCACCGACACCTCCTGGTCACTCTTTTGGATGGGTTCCCAGTCACGTGACAGCCAGCCATAGTGATTACATGACCTGGAGCCAACCTACTGGCCTCTGGCATTAAAATCTCCTTAAAAGGTTCCCACCACCAGAAAGGGGTTACATTTACTTTTTTTTAAAGCGTGAGGTTAAAACCACTGTAGAATTTGGTTGCGTTTTCTGAAGCCAATGCAAAGATTTTTCCTTACTTCCTGTGTGGTCACTGATTTAGGAAGTGAGCAGAATGTCTCCAACAGGGGTACGTACAGACAGTAAACACATCTATTTTGAAAATAGATTGTAAAAGTGAGGTGAGAAGCTGCATCAGATTTTTGTTGTTATCTCTGTGCTTGTGCGGGAAATCTCCCCACTTCCTGTGTGGTTACTGGGACAGGAAGTGAGGGGAAATCTTGCCAACAGGGACATAAATAGTTGTTATAACACTCCTTCACTCCACTCTGTGCCACAATGTTCCATGGCTGGCGACGGGCTAAAGGAAAAAGATTCTAATGACCGATTAGTATATTACGGGGTAAAGGAGAGAAGTCGAAGAATTCATCCAAGATGGAAAGGATAAAAAAATGAGGAAAAGGTAAAATCTGTTATATTGTGTTTAGCAGGAATGTGCGGATCACTTGCATGGCCATTGGAGGAGGGGAGATGAGTGAGGGAAGGAGGAGATGAGACTGTGAAATTTCCTTTTTTTTTCAATTCATCTTGTTTGGGGGTTTTTTTTTTTTGGGGTGGTTTAGGGATGGGAGGGATTTTGGGTTGTCGTTTCCCTTGCTTTTAGGGGGAAAATGGTTTTAATACCGATGGGAAGGGAAATTTATGGCGGCTGTTTTAGGAAGAAGTTATGAATATCATTCTCTTCTGTTTTGATTGGATTTCTCCCCGGGAGAGTCTTTTAACAGGATGTTTCTATGTCTGTATTGTTATATATAGAAACAATAAAGAAATATTATACAAAAATCAAACTGTTATATTTATGTTCCATCATAAGGTGGAGTGTGTCAAGGTTTGCTTTGTTTTCTGATTAGTCTGCAGGAAAATGCCATCGGAGATGAGGGGGTGTCTGCGCTCTGCAAGGCTCTGCAGGAGAACTCCACACTGTCAGCTCTGTAGTAAGTCCTCAGCACAATCACAATGTACATGAGAACAGGAATAGGGATTTGTGAGCAAGGAAAAGCTCAAATTAGCAAACAGTCCATCAGAAATAGTATGTGAATAGCAATGAGCGGGTTCAAAAATAAAGAGGTGAGTTCCATCTAAGTTGCCTCTTGATATAAATGCAAGCTGTTCCTTGACAGCTAATTGGAAAACAATGCGGAGTAACAGCTGTGAGTTCAGTCGGTTACACCACTAATTTGCTTTAAGAGATAACCTGCATATGATACAAGAGACAACTTGGATGAGGAATGTGCACTGGTAAAGAAGCTTGTGCACTTTTTTTTAGCAAAATATGACAATCGTTCTTTTCTACCAGAAAACTAATATCCCGCCGTCTTCCCTCGGGACGCCTCTTCCTGCTCAGAGAATGTCCTGTCCTGTGTTACATTACAAGATTAAAGCCCAACTCTATCCACATGAACCTTTGTCAGGCTTTTATTTGCAGTCTCCCTTTGGGGAGATTTTCTGTTACTTTGCTTGGAACAGGAAGTGAGGGGAAATGGCTTAAGTAGGAACTATTGCATGTGTGTCATCGCACTCCTGACCGGTAGATCTCAATGTTGATGGCGGATGTCGCCGCAATCACAAGCAATGTAGAGCAGAGTCACCGGCACACCAATTGTGATATAACTTTTTCCTTTATTGACACAAATCAATCATGTTATAAAGCAAACGTTGTTTTGGGCCGCAAAGCGTCCCTTTATATCAGGCATAGGATGTTTGCCTAATAAGGGGCCCTTTGTGGCCCCAAAACGTTGTTAGCTTTGTGATATGAATGACTTGCGTCAATAAAGGATGAAGTTATATCACAATTGGTGTGCTGGTGACTCTTCTCTACATGGCTCAAGTGGAGTCACCCAAACAGGATCCAACACTGTATCAGGTCATTGTTGTCCGTGTGCTCCTGTCCCAGGGACCACCACTTTCCTTATTTTTTTTCAGGGACAGGAAGTAAGATGACATCTCTCCAATAGTGTCATAGACAAGCAATACAGTCTTGACAGAAGTATTAAGTCTACACAAGTCTGTCTTAAAACAAAATAAAAAATGTATAAGGTGGAAGTTCACCCTAAAAAAGCCCATTAAACAGCCATATAACACATGTACATTGATACATACATAGCGCCACGTAGGACTTCTGTCTGGGCTCCGGTTGTCCTGCAATCAGCACTGCCGGCTTAACAGTGAAACTCATAGTGTTGCTCAGCACCCCCATCCCCCCCTCATGCTATCTACATCTTTGACAGCAACAGGCCAAAGAGGAAGCGTGTTCCTCTGAAAGCAATTTCAGGATGTAGATAGCATAACAGGGGGGGGGGGGGGGTGAGAGACACCATGAGTTGCACGGTGTCACTGGTAAATGGGTGACAGCTTCCAATGCTGATTACTGGACAATGGGAGTGCGGACAGAAGTCATACTAGGTGCTATGCAGCTATCACGGTACATGTGCTAATGTTCATTGGGTAATTCTTAGGTGATCTTACACTTTGAATATATTGAATATATTTAATAGAAAGAATTATAAATGGTATTATGCCACACACACCACCTGATATCTTTATATGTCATAAAGCCCTGTGATTCGGGTATCTCCAGCGTTCCCTTTGCTTTACTCAGCACAAACATCATCTTATACCTTTCCCGTGGTGTTGGAGTTCTATATGTGAAGTGCGGTATCAGTGCTGAGACACATGTTCTAGCTGGACAGACACTGTCATAGTTTTATCTCATTGTCTTACCATTAACAGCGCAATCCAGAGGAAATTATATCATGAGTCACTTTTTCCTTGCCTTGTATTACTGATTGTCAATAATGTTGCAGTCTACAGGGAACCGCCATTGGACCGTCCGGGGCGCAGGCTCTGGCAGAGGCTTTGCTGGTCAATAGGAGTCTCACCACTCTGGAGTGAGTATGTTCAAAGCAAATAACCAGACACAGGTTTTACAATAAAAAAAACGTTTGTGAGTATCAAGATCCTAAACACAAGACCACTTGATGAGCAGGTATGGTCAGAAGTTTGTGTACACCTGAACATCACACTGCTATGAGCTTGCTGGACATCCCAATACAAAACCATAACCATTAATATGGAGCTGCCCCGCCCCCCCTCCTTTTCAGCTATAACAGTTTTTCCTTGTAGGCTTTCCACAAGTATTTGGAGTGTGCCTGTAGGAATCTGAGCCCGTTCAACCAAAAGAGCATTTGTGAGGTCACGTACTGGTGTTGTGAGGTCACGTACTGGTGTTGTGAGGTCACGTACTGGCTCACAATGGTTCCAACTCATCCCAAAGGTGTTCAGTAGGGTTGAGGTCAGGGCTCTGTGAAGGCCACCCAAGTTCCCCCACACCAACCCCATCAAAGGAGCTGACTTTGTGTGCGGTAACATTAACAGTACTCCGTCATTGCAATCACCTGAACTCAATGTTTTTGAGGTGTGTCCATATATTTGGGCCCTATAATATATGTGTGATGGTCAGGTGCCCACAAACATTTGAGCATATACTGTAAGTATAGACGTGCTTTCCACAACGCAGTGCAGGCCTCTACAGCTTGCCCAGTCTGGGGGCATATGTCTCATGCTACTTGCACTTTAATGGCATTTGACTCTACGAAACACCTCCATCTGATATACCTTAGCATTGTAATATTGTGTAGTTGTAGAGTAAATCTGGGACTTGCATTAACAGTGCTCTAACCTCATCGAGTACCTCTTTTTTTTTTGGTGTTTCTTTGTTTCTCACCCCTCATGGCATTTCATTGTGTCTTCAGGAACGTGACTCCATCAATAAAATATGCTTCCTGATTGGCCAGAAAGCCAGCTCCATGCACACTAACCTTAGTGAATGTTCTGTATGTGTGTGCGGCGTCTTCTATATAAACAATTAACACTCGAATTTGTGTCTGCCAACAGTCTGCGAGGGAATCACATCGGCCTTGTAGGAGCCAAAGCCTTGGCAGGAGCACTCAAAGTGAACTGCTCTGTGCAGATCCTCAAGTGAGTACCAACTGCCTGGTGAACGGAGGGGACAGCCAATCCCTTTACAGGATTATCTCACCGCATACCTACATATATACAAGTGACAATATCATGGATTTGGGTCAATTCTATTTGACATTTTTGTGAATGTTCATCTACAAATGTGATGTTTTGTTTATTGTACCATTTATAAGGGAACATATAGGCAATGTGTGTTTTGAGATAAACATGTGAAAGGGATCTGTTAATGTACTGTGAGTAATCTTATACATGTGGTCTGGTTTAATAACTTTGTTCCTTAGTTATATTTATGTCGGGGGGCAGCCATATGAATAGTACGATTCTGCGCTATGGTGAACTTATCTGAAGTAGAATTAGGAAGCTGCTGTACCTATCTATATAGAAAAAACATGCTCAGCGCTACCAATAATGAATCTTTATTTGCACATTTCACATGCAGGTTCTGCTTCCTGCTTTGCAGTACTACACAATGGCTCTCCTTTATAGATTTGTTAGGGCCCATACACATCAGTGCACTACGGTAACAAGCGTTATGCTTGTTGGTGTGATGCGGTGCCATTCATTCTGATTGACAAATTAACGTATGTGCACTGCACCACATGGTCACGTATTACTATGTGCTGCAGTGCAATAGAGACAATGGTGCATGCACAGCTTGGGCTGTTATATTGCATTAGGCAAGTGAATAGGCTGCAATCATGCAATGCACATTAAGACGCATGCTTTTAACACACTGCAGCGAACCTGTGAATGGGCCCTGAGATTTGTAGATTAGCCCAGCTAGAACACTCATTGGTTCAGGGCAATCACTCTGCTTCCTGCTTTACAGATGTTCACATAAGAGATCAGCCAATGGGAACATCATTTTCACTGAGTTGGCCAACCTATAGATTTTCAGTGTAAGAAGGAGCAGGAACACACAAGCATTGTGGATCAAGAAGGAGAACCTGTATATGTAATGAGCAATATCTGCCTGTGTGTGTGTATATATATATATTATCCATTGCACACAGAGTGATGTAAGAGTTGTGTAGATGATGGCTTGTCTTGTATGTTTCCAGCTTGCAGGAAAACTCCATTGGTCTGGATGGCGCTATCTGCCTGGCAAATGCCATCTCAGGAAACCCTTGTCTTCTCTCCCTCAGGTATGTATGTTTTATAGTGGTCTGCACAGGAGTCCCCCAATAATACTGTATTCTCTCCTACAGTCTACAAGCTCTATAACATGATAGGTAATCTGGAGATGACAACTTGTGCCCTGTACTTGGTTGTCTTCTGAACCGCCATTAATATCAATTGATAACCAGAAGCAGATAATATGACATAACATTCCCATATTGGGGCCTTTAATACATTAGGTTGACTCATATTGGAAATAGTAGTTGTAGAGGATGCCATAAACCGAACCCTACCTTAGATATTGGACCTTGCTCTCCAAGCTCATTTGATGGGTACATTTCAGCACTTTCCGCAGTTATTGCATCATTTGGTTGTAATACAAAGCTGCCTCCAAACAGATCGCTGCCGGCCATGATTCCACAACCCAGAACTTCCACAGAATAGATCTTTCTGCAAATATCCAAGATTGTAACAAGTGAATCTACACATCTGTGCTTATGGTGGAGGGAGCACTGCAAGCCAGCCTCTGAACTAGGGTGTCTTCTGGCTTCCTCAGGGGGGCTTCGGAATTTTTGCACAGCAAAGCCTTTGCTTGGTCCAGGTGGGCCGGCCACCAACACAATGGAAATGAATGACACTAATCCAAGGAGGGTGGGATGTATTTAGAAAAAGACAGAAGTTCCCTGTCCTGGTTCCCCTCCCATCCTCCGCCATGCTGCCAATAGTAGGACTCTGATATGAAGGGGGTCTGAGATGTGAGGGGGTCCTAATGTTAGAGGACTTTTTTTGTTTTTTTGCATGGGGTCCCCCCTTAAAATCCAAACCAGAGCACTATCTCGGATAAGGATCTGGGATGGATTTAGGAGGAGGCACAGGTAATTATTTTCATTTTTACAAAAAGTTTGAGAAACGCTGCTGTGTCAGGAGGCACAATAGTGATCAGCCAGCTAAACCCATTCTGGCCAATCACAAACAGCCAGATATTCTCTACTGCTTGCAGCCATCATAGGTGCTTCTGATTCGTCCATGTTACCACCTGATCCTACCAATCCCAATGTTACATTTTATATTTCTCTCTATCCTGTGGTACTGGACGTTAACATGACTATGGAATTTTTCCTATACAGTTTGCAAGGGAACAACATTGGGCCATCTGGTGCCAAGGTGATAATGGAAACCCTGAAGAATGACGCTCCGAACTGCACAGTGTCCATATGAAGGACCTGAAGATGGTGCAGAGCTTGTACAGTGCAAGGTTAGACACTGTGGTAAAATGATCAGAGCGTGAGATTCTAGGAGCCGTGCATTTCATCAAAGACAAGAACTGTGATCATGACATACACACAGCCTGTGGTATTATAGATTTTGCTTCTCAATCTCTTAAGTGCAATAATCAGCAAATCCATAATATGTCCACACAAAGGCAGAACACATCTGAGCCCACAAAGCTCAATCATGGAAGGGCCCCGTATTAAAGCCCAACTCCAGACAAAACGGTTTATTTGGTTTTGGATACAGCCGGGGAGATTTCTCCTCACATCCATATCGGATGTTTATTTCTAAAATCACAATTTAATACAAGCAAAGGAAAGAAAATGACCTATAAAAACATCTATAAAACATGTAAATATTCAAAAATTGTTAAATAAAACTGACCAAAAACTATGACCGTTTCCTTTCATGCACTAGTTATAAATAAAGTTTGGCTATACGTGGCTTGCGTTAACTTGCTAAAATTTACACAGACAGATCTTTACGGTATAAAGCAGGGGTAGCCAAACTCCGGCCCTCCAGCTGTGGTGAAACTACAAATCCCATGATGCATCTCTCTCTGGGAGTCATGGCTGTGAGAATCTTGCAATGCCTCATGGGATTTGTAGTTCCACCACAGCTGGAGAGCCAGAGTTTGGCTAACCCTGGTGTAAAGTATCTAAACCCAGGAAACAAAATGTAATATATTGCAGCTTATTAGTCCTTAGATATGGTGGCTGCATTCGTTTTCTTTTTTTACCTGGGGAGCCTGCCAGTAACACACTTCCTGTCCAAGGGTGACAACACGCACTCACTGCACTGATCATAAGGGGAGGGGTTTTATAGTCCTAAGGCATAGCTGGAAACAATGTCTAGTGCTGAATGTTGTCAGATACAGTATCAGCTGAGAAGATTTCTGGCAGGCGCCACAGGTATGCTTTACACTTATAGAACACAGAGCAAAACACTTCCAATGGATTATTAAAGTGGACCCTTTGACTAAAAATCACATCATCATACAGCTCTGCATGCTGATATGAAATCATCCGACATTCATTAGCTAAACTAATATTTTTATTTTACTTACAATGTATTTTTCTCCACTTTGGTACAAATGATGTAACTGCATGCTGGGAAGGTTACATCAGCAGAGCATTGCTGGGAAATCTCATGAGATCTCATGGTAAGGCTGGGCACACACCTTACAACCATCGCAATACTTTTGTCTTGCGATGGTTGTAAGGTACTTAAAAGAACGTACGATCTGCCTATCTTGCATAGGCAGATCGTACTTGCGATGATCGCAAGCCACGCCCCCTGAGGGGCGGGCTTCCGATGACCGCAATGCCGAACGGGCAGTGTGCGCTTGCGCACACCGGCCCGTACGGCTGTTATCGTACGGACATGCCACAAACCCGCCGAACGTCGTACGATGCTCGGCGGGTTTTCGAACATGTCCGTAAGTTCAAAGTCGTGCGACCTTACAGTAGTAGAGGTCTCACGGCTTCCACACACCTTACGATAATCGTACGATCGCGGGATTTCCCGCGATTATCGTAAGGTGTGTGGGGACCTTTAGGCATTTTCCTCCCCTGAGATGATGTGCATGGTCACATGTCCCAGAGTTCCAGGAAGTAAAGGGAGAGCTAGTAACCTGCCCTTAATAAACATGGCCACTGTCAGAAGACTGGGGAAGAAAAGAAAAATAAAGATATGCAAAGAATACAAAGCCGGCAATTATCTAGAAGTATATGATTGTAGATTGTCATCACTAGACATTTCTGAAGGTGAATTTGTTGGTATTCTGAAGATCTAAGTAAAGTTCCTCTCTAACAAACCAAAAGAGAGGGAATAAGAGAAGCTTTTACACTTATATACAGTTCTCATGATAAATGATATGTATGAAAAGATCACAAATAAACAAATGATATTTATTGTAAACAAAATAATGAGGAAATTAACAGAACTGTTGACCTTAAATAAAGGCGGATTTACATAAAGCGATAGTAAATAAAACGTTGGTCCTCATGCTGGAGAGGAAAATGACCCCCAACACGCAGACTGCGGCAATGATTTACCCCAACAGGTCAGAAAACAAACACTCTGTCTGGGTACTAATGTGATCTCGTGGCTTCTTCTGACCTTTGTACATGAGGCCCATTGCTGCACACAAGATTAGTGGGAAAATAATTGAAGTCTGGCAGACATAAGAATTAAAGTGGGCCTGTCAGTGCTATCTGTTCAGTCAGCCATATTGTTGCATTGGCCAAGATTAGAATATGGGGAGAATCACTTCTCAGGCCCTAGTGACATCACTGGAGCATTACTTATAATAAATTGGTGCCCCATTTTTAGCCCCATGGCCCCAATCACAAGAGTCTCACAAATTCCTCTGTATCTGCATCCAGATGCCGCCATCTGCAGGTATGCGATTACATGTGACCGGCTGCGGGCGCTGTCAGCTGCCATTGTATTGTACAGAGCCTCCTGCTGAGGCTGATCCCATGAGTCTAGTGGAGGGATTTGTGAGACTCGTGATCAGCCCCTTTCACAAGTGTGGACGGGGCCTTAAAAAGTCAACGTCCTGCCGAGGAGAGCAGACACCATAACATGCCAACGTTTCATGTGCCCCTCTCTGATTCATATCTGGAAAAAATAACTCAAGGCAACTGGACCTGCTGTATTTTTCTCGAGACGTTTCACTGGCCATCCAAATACAGCAAGTCCAGTTGCCTTGACTTATTTTTAGGGATATACCCTGACTCAGATGAATGAGAACCGTCACAGACACATTGCGACTCTCTGATTTAGTTTCACTTTATTACTGAAACCTGATTTTCCTTGTCTTATAAACCTTCCAACCGCCATTCCACTGACCAATGGAACTGTTTCAGTTGGCAGAGAGACTAGACAATGGTGGCGCTTAGTCATGAGGTCAGGACCTTTGCTGTATAATAAAGTGAGACTATATCAGAGAGGGGCACATACGAGGCCATCATGTGGTGTCTGTTCTCTGCACGCTTATCAATCACTAGGCACAATATAACATAATTAGGGACAGACGAATGGGGGGAACATTTGGTCCACCTCCTAATTCTAAATTTAGTGACACCGATCCACCAGTCATGAGCCAACAGCATAGCACACAATGTTCCAGAAGGCCCCTGTTAGCCGGATGTCTACAGCTCTGACTTTCATTATCACAGTGCCCCCCCCCCCCCCCCCACCCCCCCCCCGTGCCCCGCGC